GGGCGTGCTGCCGGCTCCTTCCTCGAACAGCTCACCGAATATGTGTTTTTTTACCTTCTCCTTCTCCTTTATTCAGTTCCATGTTCACAGTCAGTTCTGAGCCGTTATTTCCAGTAACAAAAAAAAAAAGTTTTCAGACAGTTTGCAATGCCTGTATACATTTTTCCTCTAAAGGATAAAAAAACCCTAGAAAATTGTATAATATACCCATCATCCTTTAGATTTAAAAGCTTTCAGACCAAGTTACAAAAGGTGTATTTTTCTTCCTTTTCTGTACTGGAAGGACTTTGCCAGAGGAGGCCCCCAGTGAAGGGCTTAGAGGCTCACAGGATCTACTAATACAGGAATCATCACGGTACAATGTCCGAACTTACGTCTCTGTTTTGTCAATTGATGTAGTGCTATGGATCCCGACATTTCCGTACAATGTAACTTTGCGTAGTGATATCAACAGAACACCATTGCTTGCACTGTGATGTAATGGTGCCATGTTCTAATATAAATTATGTACGGTCTTGAGATTTAGTTTGTCTTGGACACGCTCCCAAGAACTGCCACGCAGGAGCCAGAGTTCAAGGAAAAGCAGCATCAAGCGTTCGCGTCAAGAGAACATGGAGCTGTATGTACGAGGGGAATAGCTGCGCTTAAGAATACCCTCCAGACAGGATGAACACCTACCACCAACCATCTCATGAAAGGTAGTGAGCAGGTGTTCTCTTCTTCAACGAACAGATAATGTTCCAATTTCCTGTGTGAACATATATTGTCACCAGAATGTAAACTTCCCGATAGACAGTCCTCTGCTTACCCGTCCTGCAGCTATTGCCCAACTGCTCCCAACGGCACGTTCAGCTCATCGAGAGGGTGACTTTTTTTCTGCACGCATAAAGCAGAAGCTGAGCGAAACTTGTGTTCTCAGTGAATCTGGAAAGAAAGTCAAGACCACAGTTTGCTCATCAGCCAGTGGGATACCAGGCGACCGTATTTCCCAGTCACCCCCGGCCCAGAGGAACAATGCAGACCAGTAACAACGCCATCACAGTTCCCTTTCCCCTAAGCTTAATTGCAACTTCTTATTTCCACCGTCAGAAAGTAACATAGTAAATACTTCTAAGTAATAACTATTATTTAGGCTATTGCTTATAATTGCATCAGTCAGCCTTGAAAAACTGTTTTCCCAGACAAGCACAGGACCAGAAATCCCAAAGCAGTTAGGCAAAAAATATTCATATTGAGAAGACTCTAATTCACTATTTTAATATATCTGAAAATTAGCCATGCTGAGGTAAATAGCAATTGTTGACCAACTAGTTTCCCCCCCTACTTTTATTCTCTCACCGCCTTTCATTTCTGGTAGCGGAGACGCTGCGAGGCAGGGGATGGCTGGCGGGTGGACGGATCCGGCAACGTCTGTGCACAGCTGTGTGGGAACCAGCAGCGCTCCGTAAGAGAGAAGAGTCCTTGGGCTGGTTCTCCTGGGCAGATCAGGGTGATTAACAGAACAGGCTGTGTTTCTGTGGAGCTGCCGCTCGTTAGAGAATCATTTTACAGAGGATCGCCACAGTAACAAACTTCGCACTATTAGCAAGCCCATCTCGTTCCCAGAGCAGAAATGAAACCCGTTCTCGCACTCATAGTTAATAATTTAGAGAACAGTTTCCCATGTCCATTAGATCATGTTTTGCATCTGCTCAGAATATCTGTGGGTGTTGGCTGACGTACTACAGAGCACTCTGTAAATCAAGAGGAGTTTGGCAACTCACATGCCTCACTGGAGCTCAAACGTTGCTCCAGAACATGCTCCAGAAAACCTTTTTCAAGCTGCATGACACAGGCTCATACTTGCCTTCCCTTTAAAAATGACTGGATGTAGGAGAATGCTGAATGAAGGAGAGAATCGAGACCTACAGTATTAGCAAATGGTGGTCCGGAGTTGCAGAACTGGTGAAAATTGTATAGGATTGGTTCAGCTGATTAAGAATCTGCATCCTACTCCAGTGAGACAAGGAGTCCTTAGGAGTTCATTGTCTTAATCATCACAACGGTTGGGAGAACGCTCCCTGCGAAACCTCAGTGCAGAAGGATATTCTGTGTAAGGCTAGCAGAACAGTACAGGAACATTCTGTGAAATTACTGTCCTAAACAAAATTTAAGTACAAATACTTCATAAAAATAAATGTGTCTCCAGCTGTCATCCATAAAACATACATAATTTTAGAAGTTCAGTAGATTACTTGAATGGCATCAAGAATCCAACTTCATATAAGAAGGTTATAGGATCTAGGGAACTACTTTTAGTGAGATTGCTTAAAATGTACTTTTGTACGTTTCTATCCAATATCTGATGAACGGGTGAGAAGGATTATCTTGTCAGAGACTCAGGACATCACCTCCTTCGGTGAGTTAAAAAATCTTTCCAGCAGCTAAGGAGACGCCATAGACCTTCACCAGAAACAAGGAAGGCAAAACTTGTTACAGGAAGAAGGGAAAGGATTTTCTTAGGCCTTTTCATCCCCCAGAAGGGGACAAATACATATTTTTCCATTCCGGGTCACCTTTAAAGGGACTCTGATCTTGATGCTTCTGGCTAAGGCTTGACAACAGCGTCTTCCCATGGAGCTCTGCTGCTGCAGAGCAGAACCAAGGAGCTCCAGGTGCTGCTGCCGACTCTGCTGCGTACTTCTGAGGAGGACGCTGTAGCTCAGGGGCACTTGTAGCCTCAAACATCCCAAGTTCAGCTGGTGCAGCTGCAATAGGAACAAGGTAGGGATTGATAGATAGGCAGCGGTAAAACAGCTCAAATCAAGCTTAAAACTGCAGGTGTGGGCTACCTGGGGTGGGGTAAGTGGATATCACTCATTCCCTCCTCACCAGCTGGTATCGCCACACGTTCCCGTGCCACGTGATACAATTGTGGCGGTGCAGCCACCCACTTTAAAACTGGTGTTCCATCAATCCCTCTATTGGTATACAAAAAAGAGAAAGTGTGATGCCACAAATGTACCTGTACCGTTTGCTCCGATTCAGCTCTTCATGTGGAGCGGTATTAAATGGAGATCGTGTCAGAAATAATGCCTCGGGAGTAATTCAGACCGACCTGAAATATAACATACCTCTTTGTGAGAACCAACTGCCTGGTCATCAGTTTCTCATGTTTAACTAAGGCATACCTAATACTTAATATTACCAGGAAAGTCCAGTCAAGACTTCTTACTGGCCCCCAAAATAATGAAGGACAACTGCAGGCCTTTCAAAATGGCTTCTGAAAGCCTGTTCAGTAAAGGCTTCCAAAGCGTGCTCTTGTCTCTGCTTCCAGAGCGCAGAAAATTTGTGCCATCCCTGGTGAGTTCTCCACTGAGTGGAGTACACGCACATCAACTTGATTTTAACAGGTCATGGAATAAGCTGGGCATTTAAAAATATCCACCTACCCAAAAGGACAAATGAATATATATTGTGGAGCCTTCAGCAAAGATTGTTGAAACAAAACAAACAAAACAATCGTGGTAATCTTTTAGGTAAGACTTATAATGTAGAACAACTTGTCAGTGCAGGTTAAAGTTTTAAGGCCTAGCAATTTTGACAGCGTCCCTTTGAGCACAGTGAGAGCGCAGGGACGAGCAGGACAGCAAAAGGTCACTTGGTCACACATATCTGCTGCCTCTTTTAAGTTTATCTCAAGACCCACTAGGCACGTCCCAATTAATTATTTAAATCTGCAGGGAAAAATATTTCTGTAGATGAAAAGGTATAATCTTAAATTCTGGGGAAGCTGCAGGATGGCTGGCGCGGTCAAAAATAGTGCTAAGAGGAAGCCGAGGACGTTGTATCCGATCCACAGGCTTCAGACACCGAGAGAAGTCATTTACATCCAGTAATGCCGATTTGTTTCAGATACCAGCAAAGTAGAAACTTACGGATTTTCCTACATCCCTTTGTTTTCAACTGAACAGTTCTGGATTACAAAAGGTCACCGAACCCAAATTGACAATGATATATGTGGTTATTTAAAATAACTTTTCCCAACACAGCTATTGATTATGTTGCTAGCGGTCTGCATAAGTTCCTTATAAACCTGTGGACATCCCGAAAATGTTTGTCCCAGATACCATTCAAATGGTCACAAACGAAAGCCATCAGGCAAGCAACGCTAGTGAAACGGGCATTGGAAGCAAACGAGACTCAAATCCTGTATTTATGCATGACGTACTGGAATATTAGGCTAGGGCTTTCAAAGTGATTGTATGTGTCTTTGAATGGGTTTTCTAAGATTTCCCCTAATCAATTCAATGGAGAAAATATCTGGATAAAAAGCAGATGTGTATATTCACTGGGGCTGATTTTGGTCTGTCATTGTCTGAGAGAAAAAAAATAATACAGCACAAATTCCAAAAAGCCTTTTGCGTTCCATTTTCTGAATATAATCTCTCACTTTGGCACACATAAGAGAAAATAAATTTAAAAGATTTTTTTCATATTTCCTGCCACAACAAAGATCTTTAAACAACAGAAGATAAATACTCTTGAATAGTCCAAGCAGTCTTGCTTTCTGAAAGATACTGTCTTTCTTTTCTCTCTCTCTACCAATGAAATTCGTGTTCTCTATTAGACCCAGCTCAGCTGTTTGCCCCAGAAAAATACTCCACATCGCTTCTTTCCATTGCCTGGCTCTCCTGTCATTAAACTGCCTGTGCTACCATTGCAGGGAGAGGCCAATTAATTATTGTGTTTGTTCTGCAACAAATAATGTGACCTGTGACCTCATTCTTTTAAAACTGCAATTTTTGCATTTGTTTCTGTGACTCAGCCCTGATGTGTTATCTTTATATAACAGCGAACAATAAGACATAATTATGATGCTAACACATCACTTTAGTTTTAACAGAATGAGCCACTTTCTCTTTTCAGATACACACACACAGTGGATGTTTTTATCTGTTGCAGTGTAGGGGGAAAATGTTTAAACACTAGCAATACAGCCTGGGCCAGCTGGTAGACTGAGTATCTGATATGAAGCAATACAGTTGTATTTCCGAATGATACCTGATACCAGCAGCCAGAGATGGGAACACTTTTAAATGTTTAATCATAGCTATGACTAAGTACTTTTATTTTCCAATGGGAGGACCTACCATGGATCCTGCTTGGAAAAATCTCCGTAGACAAATTCTGCTTCTGTTTCTGTCACTTCCTTTCAACTCCCCTGCGATTATTATTACCCCTTGCTCCTCACAAAGACATTTTCCTGAAGACAGATTAGGAGAAAACATATTTGTGAACATAGGAACAGATTTTCTTATGATACATAACTTTGGCATGCAGTCAGGAAATGATGATAATCTTTTTCTCCATCTTCCCTTGCTAATGAAGAGAAACTGCCTCTGGGGTTAAGGACAAAAGGTGAACTCTCCCTGAACACAATTTACACCTACTGAGCACATGATTTCGGGCATCTAAAATTCTTGTCTTGGCAGGTGTCCCAGGGACCAAGCCACGCACACGGAGACTCAGAAGGTAATATTTTCATCTAGACATTAAATAAAAAACAGACTCAAGAGGGATGGATTTTGTGATACTTTAAGGCATCTCATTTTTTTGCTTAACCTTGTAAAAATCTTTCACTATTCAAACTTAAGAAGACCAATCTTTACCAACCAGTAACTAAGATAAAAAAACAGTTGAAAAGTAACTAAGATAAAAAGACAGCTTTAGTTAAAAAGAAGCCTAATCAAGGCAGGAAAGAACAGCCCATCCCTCGTTTGTTGGTAGCTGCACCGTGAACGTGTGGATAACCTCTCCTGGAAAGGGAGATTCCTAGGTAGATGTGATCCTTATAAAACTTTTCACTCATTCTTGGATTTCCCTTTTATGAGAAGAGTAGTACAGCGCTGTCATTTTCTACCCCCTTTAAGATTTTGCTGGTTTGGAAGAGTTCATGAGACACAGAAGTGCTGGGGTGCAGAATACGTTCACTTGGAAACTGGATGTAGACACATTTTACACTCATATACTGCCTTGTTTTGAATCAATCAAAAATTATCATAAATTGATACTGACAATGCAGCCACATCTGGGTAGACAACAACCTTGAGGGGTGGGAAGGTAGGATATTTTCCCAGTTCTAACAAATTTGTGACGGTGCTTAGAATATTTGTTAGAGATGGACGAAACGGCAACATTTAGTGCCACGTCAGAACACATATATGGAGTAGGTATTCACATCTAGAACTTGTGTGTGTTGCATCATCCTGAAATTATTCACCACAAATTGCATTTCAATCCTTTTTTTCCTAGCCCATTATTCTTCTTCCTTTCTCACACTCTCTCTCCAAAAAAAAGCCCCAAATCATACCCCCAAAAAGCAATGAATCCACTTCTGGGGCTTTTTCTTTCATTTTCCATTCTTTCTGTCCAGCTGAGGTATTCCTGTGGATTCTAATCCTGACTATCTATGGAGTGTACTAATTCCAGCTGCCACTCGAGATCTTATTTCCTTTTAAGAGCACTACCATGTCTCCTAGTGTGTCTGGGACAAAAACTGCTTCCAGCATTGGTGGCCTGAGTATCACTTACTTTGCAAAACTTCTGAA